CGTGTTTGACCTCAAGGCGTCGATCAATCTGTTGGCGTGCTTGTGGAGAAAGACCCTACCAAAACCCCCGCTATGCACCCGGGTAGTTCGGGAAGATGATGACTTTGCAGGTATCGAATCCTAATTGTTCTCGTCGGACATAAATGTGATCCAGAAGTGTGTTGTGGTGACGTTGTGATAGCGGAGAATGGTCTTGCACCTCTCGGCAGTCAATACTTCGGCCAGCTGTGCAAAATGCTCGAAGGAGTCGAGGAGATCAACCGGCTCGCCGCTGAAAGGCGGAGACCCGTGTGAGCTTGAACCTGACATGATTCCTGTACGTTAAATTTCGAAGTGTCGGACAACTGAGAGGGGTTGAAGGCGAATCGGTGCATTATAATGTATCGTCGTAGTAAGGTTGGCACGAACCAGAGGAATCAAACTGACTCAGAGAAGACTGCGTTGATGCATCAATGTACGACTAACACTGAGGGTGAGTCGGATGATGCATTATTGATCGATATATCACTATATTCCTGGCCGGGGGGGATCAGGCTGTAGTAATGTTAATGCATCATAGTGGTAAGGCAGGCACGGACCACGGTCAATACATCATAGTAGTAACGTTGGCACGGACTCAGATCCCGCCCAGGCCCGGGTGTGCTTGGACTTTGACTGTGTGCAATTCCACCTTGGAACCTGTGCATTATCAGTGTGATTGTCAAAGAAGTGGTACTAACCTGAGGATATCCGTCCGCACAGAAGGACCCAAGCATTGTCCACTGTAACAAAGGTGTGAGTCACTCTTTTCCAGATCCCAGCACAAGGGGAGCATGTAGAAACCTGTAAAATACTACAGGACAGTAAGTAAAGTGTATCAGTATATACGAAGGTACTCGCCTCAGTGTACTGGTAAGTCACTGAGGTGTAAAGTCTACGAGACACGTGTCTAACTGCAGTGTTTTACCAAACGCCTCCTTTGGTGGAAGTTTCTGCATCTTGTTGCACCCGACTGCCTTGCCCATCAGGTATGAAATATTTCCAAGTTAACTATACAACCTTTTGTACTAATGTCATCAAGAGAATCATGAAGAAATGATAAGCCCATATATGACATTGCCTATCATAAAAAGTACATATGTAAACATCAGAATGATACACACACTGATCATGCCATATAATTCTAGGCAGTGATGACAGCATAGATCAGATACTATTAGTCATACTCAATAGTTCATATAAATCACTATGATGACTAATGATCATGGCTGTAATCACTGCAATGGGAAGCACTCCAGGAGTGTTTACATTCCTGATCTATTCTGACATACTTACAGCCATTATCTGGAATGATCATTTATATCAGGGAATATCTTTTGAAAGTGATGTTCAGAAAAAAAATTAAACCTCACTGCACTCATATTCATGTTCAACATCCATAGGTTCAATATTCATAGGTGAAAAATGATTTCATTCCTTAAAAGATCTAGACTACCATTGACAAGAATGCAAAAATTGAAGAGAGAAAAAATCACTTACAATCTTATTCACACAACTTATTGGACTTACCAGTGATGGACTCACCTTGGGTAGTGACTCTGGCCTGAGCAATAGCCCAGAGACAATAGTGACTCTGCCTCTGAAGAAGAAATCAGAGGACAAGAGTGAAAAAACTTGAAAAGCAGCAGAAGGTAGGTTTATATAATATGTACTATACAGCACTTACAAATCATTTCCCATGCTTCTGGCTGGTTTCAAAACTATTCCATGATATTTATGACAAGGGTAGGCAGCTGAGTATTCTGACAGAGTGAAGTAGTTTGGCCAGTCCAATATCATGGAATATCATTGCATATCTTTGTGATGTATGTCTGGCCAGCAAGTGTAATAGAATTACAATATCATGACATTATGACAACTTTAGATATTCCTTTTTCAGAGCTACAAAATAATTATGAATATCTTACTAATGAATGCCAAACTGAGTTTGGACTGAATAGCAAATGATAATGGTTGACATAATCTCAAAATGTCAGCCTAGAATTATATAGCCTCATCAGTGAACTGTCTTTCTTGTGTCAGAGGATCATTCAAGCATATTTATGATGAAGATCTGATAATATCATATAAATATTTACCTTCCACATCATATTTAATGTGTGTTTGTAAGATTCATCTGGTTATACCATCACTTCACTGTTCCCCTGATGGTCACATCTCATGGTGGGGCCTGATTGTTGGAGATCTCTTCAAGCAGAAAGACAACTATGGAGAGTATGGAGGCATGGCACAGGAATTCATCATGTGTCTGTGAAGCAAAATGCAAGTACTTTCCCTCCTCTGTGACATACAGATTGCCACAATTGGGAAGACACTTACAATCATCTGAGCCATTTTAACATGGTAACTATCACACTACCTTGCATACTGATGCCTCTTGGAGGTCCACCCTGTGCTTGAGCTTCTTGTTACAAAACATGAAAATGCCTTGTTAACATATGGAAAATGGGCAGCTTGTGAGAAGGCAGCAACAGCCATTGTGACAATAAAAGATGCTACATTTTGGCATGCGATGGCTTGGTAAGCTCACTGGTTGCTAGGCTGGTATTGGGGACACTGAATGGCAATGTAGGTGGAAGAACTTGCTTGAGCCCATTGTGCTCATGATGAATATACACCAAGCTGCTCTTTCCCAGCCTGAACATGTTATGATCTCATTTTGATTTCTCTATTTATGCTACTCCAAGCTCAGTGACAATGTTGACAGTGTGGCCTGAACAGCAGTTCTTCAGAGTGCTGAATGTTGCTGGGCATGTTGTGACCAGGAGGTCTTTATCACAGCTGTCATTATTAATCCATTCTACTGAGTGGATCCATTTAATAAAATATCCCTGACAACTCATGCTGGCCTGGCTGTGCCCTTTGGCTATATTTTTATGGTGAAAGTGCTCCTATTGAGCTTTTAACAGATTTAGAGCACTATCTTGTGTCTTCAGGTGATTTTGTGTGCATGGACATCTAGAAAGACTCTCTGTTGGCTCATGCTGTGCTCAGTGTGAGTGGACTCTTTCTATATTTATTATTATTTTATTTTACCCCTCACATATTCTGCTAGCACACCACTGTTGATGCACTGGATGTATGGAATGCATCATCACATCTTGGTGCTGAACTCAGACCACTACAAAAAATTGCATGCTGCTTACTTTCAATCTGTCCCAATCCAGCATCTTGTGAACAACTCTTCAGTGTCTTTGGTAGCATACTGATGAAATGGCACAATTGGCTATCAACCAAAAACCTGACTTATCTTGCAGAACTCAAGATGTATGTGTATGAAGAACATGTCTGTGATGATGCTGTCAAAAAATGCCTCAAGAGAACACGTGCTAATGTAGTTGAGGGGATGTCAAGACAAACAAAGGGTACACCATCACTTGGTGGCAGTGTCTCACTTACGACAGAGATGACTCAGAGTGACCAAGAAGAAGGTCCTGCTAGCAACTCAGAAGGACTCGGAGCCACCACTGGCAGGAGCCCCAGCCAAGGATTAAGCTGCATTGCACAGAGCCTCATTCAAGCAGTAGACAAGGAAGGCTAAGAGCCAGAGTATTCAGCAGTGGGGACAAACTCTGCTGTGCAGCAGTATTCCCCCATAACTATTTAAGAACTTTGGATTATTCATGTGCAGAGGCATGGCTGGGCTCATTCTATGAGACAGCTATTTGATGTTTGGATGATGACCTTGAATTGTACCAGCTTCTTGATCTAGATGCAGATTGCATTGATGACTCAAATTACTCTCAGGCAGAAGAGATATTGGTGGTGTGGCAGAGCACTTAGTGTAGTTTCGATTAGCCACTACCCCTGATCTTTGTAGCCAATGAATTTTGATTATTTAATGTCCAGACCTGACTTCTGGCACTGCACATAGTCACTTCACTTGTGTTCATGGGAAAGTTTGCTGATGAATGTTCTGTGACTTTTTTGAACCTTTGCTAACCAGCTGAACAGTGCAGTGGACACTAGCCAAAGTTCATGGCACAAGGTTATGCAAAATTGAATCATGAGCTACAAGAAACAAACTTTAATGCTATCTATCACCCTGTTCAAGCTTTGTGTGTATGAAGATATCAACAAACTATGCTCTAGATCAAGAAAGGTCTAACTTGTATATTGGTCAATTTTCTCAGTGAGCATTTGCATCACAGAATGAAGTCAATGACCATATCACCCATTGTGTTGGATGATGTTGCCTTCTTTGAAGGAGATTGACCACTAGCCTCATCAACAGCCCTTGTGTTCCCCTTTCTGCTCTGTGTGTCTTGCAGCATATCTGTCTTGACATACAACACAAAGCATCAGTCAATTTACAAAAATATTATTTGGACTTATTTTGTCTTAATGTACTTGAGGTCCATGGCAAGATTTATAAGCCATAAAGTTCAGCCAAACAGAAAATTGGCTGGCTTAAATCCGGTGCTACTCAATCTTGTTGGGCTTAATGTCTTAGAATTCTGAGGCACCTTGTGGAAACACAGCTAACATTGTGAAGATGACCAAGTCACTATAGTATACACAAGACTGTAACTAAATGGCTAGTAAAACATGACAAAGTACAGTGAACTCTGGAACCAGAACACCAACTCTGGAGTCTTGGAAACCCGGAGATTGTATCTCTGCTCTGCTGCCAGGTGGAACTGCTTAGAGTCTCAGAGTATGCTTGGAATCTGTCTGGAACTTGTGCAGACTGTTATCCCACTTCATCATCCTCTTCTTATCATCACTCCTGAGCCTCCAGGGGTACTCCATCATTATCTTACATCACTCAATCCCATCTCCTTCATGTTCCTGCTCCTATTCCCCTGTTATTATTAGTGAGCGCTTCTCCACCTACTCTGCTACATATATATATATATACTTATTTCTCACTTCAGATTCCTCAGTCATTCTTTGCCCCTCTTAGGCAGTGGCTGAGGTGAGTTTATTCCATACCTATTTGACAAAAATTTCCAGAAAAGTGGACTAGACAGGGATTGAACCTGTGGCCTCCAGTGTAGTACACTGGTGCTCTTCCAGCTTGAGCCACCAGTCCATTGGGACTAGGTCCTAGCTCAAGCATCAATAGGCATTAGACAGTAAGTGCTGTGCTTGCTACCATTTGACACTATTTACTACCCATAGCTAATCCTTAGTAGTCTGGGAAATCACTGCCCTCTTATAGTTTTTGTCACCTCACCCACCTGCTTTCAAGCCCACCCACCTGCTCTCAAGCCCACCCACCCAGATGTTTCACCACCACTGGTGCATTTTCATGTCCACCCACATGTTTTCAAGTGCACCCATGCATTTTAAAGCACACTGACCCTTTTTCAGGCACACCCACATGTTTTCAAGCACACCAGCACATTTTCAAGTCCATTCATGTGATCTCAAGCCCACTGACCCGTTTTCAGGCCCATGCATGCATTGTCAAGCCCACCTCACATTTTCAAGCCCACCTGTGTGTTCTCGAGCTCACCCATACTGACCCATTTTCAGGCCTACCCATGTGTTTTCAAGCCAACTGCACATTTTCAGGTCTACCTGTGTGTTGTCAAGCCCACCCACACATTTTCAAGCCCACCCACATGTTTTCAACCCCACTGACCCATTTTCAGGCTCACCCACACATTGTCAAGCCCACCCACACATTGTCAAGCCCACCCACACATTGTTGAGCCCATCCACACATTGTCAACCCCACTGTCCTGTTTTCAGGCCCACCCATGTGTTCTCAACCCACTGACCCATTTTCAGGCCCACCCGCATGTTTTCAAGTTCACCTGCACAATTTGATATCCATCAGTGTATTTTCTTGCATGTTATCTACTTATATACAATTTTTGTTGTAACTACATACATGAATATAATAAATTTGAAAACACCCATATTCTGAACAATAAGATGAGTACTATAGGTGCTATGAGTGCTATAGTTGCTATAGTTACTTTGGTCAATATAGTAAACTATTAGAGAAATCTAAACTGAGGACTTGTCTAATTCTATGGTAGCTATAGATGCTATAATTGACTTTTATAAAACTATATTTGCTTCTGAAGTAAAGTCACCTTTTCCTGATGCATAATCTGTCTGATCACCAAGTGGACCATCCTCTTCTCTCTCTTCCCCCTCATCTCATCTGTCAGGTTTTTCACTGATAGCCCATGCTACAGAGTGTTCACCTTTCAGTTCCTCAAAGTGGATGTCCATATTGTGCACAATGAGACAGCTGTTGACCCAGAAAATGAGGTACTGTGGGTCCCACTCTTGTTGGACTGGGTGGTGGAGCTCCTGTAGTGACTGGAAACAACATTTCAAAGCAGAAAATGTGTGTTCCACATGAACACAAACCTGAAATAAGGGACATTATGTAGGATTGAAAAAATAAAAATAAAACTCACACTTGACAGATGATAGTTCAAGGTTTTTTGATCCTGTGTAAGGTGGCCACTTTTATGTTTCATGAATGGAACAACACACCACATCTCTGAAGGGTATGCACTGTCAGCCCAGATCCAATGCTCATCTCCAAGTACATGATCCTGAGCAGTCTGTGTCAGCTGAGATGCATAAGCATTGTAGACACTGCCAGGTAGCCCAAGCCCATAGTCCATAATCTGTTGATTGTGGGGCACTATAACCAGCTTATAAAATAATTAGGAAATTATCCAAAGAAAATGCAGAAATGATTTACCTGACAATTGAGGGAATAATTCAATTTGTGATCAAAGAATGTCTCCCCATGCAACCCAGGCTTTGCATAAAGGCCAAAAGCAGATCCATCCACAGCCAAAAAGCCATTCTGCCACTCTGGACAAACATGGGCCTCAACATATGATCTTGGATTTTCTGCACCTTGTGAATCAAGAGCAGGAAACTGAAGAAGTCATCATGCTGGTCAAGTACAGCAACCATCACATGATTAGTGCAATTGATCACAGACCCAACACTGACCCCAGCCCATTAGGCAATGTCCTCTGGTGAAATTTTATTTCCATAATGGCCAGTGCAATTTAGAAAGATCACAAGCTGAATGGCAATGGGAAATTGAGCAATGCACTGGAAAAGATGGGGTGCTCATTTATCTGATCCAAAATCCCATCAAAGATGTTAGGGTCCACCCTCAACCTTTTCTGAAATAGTCCAGGGGAATGATCTGCAAAGTGATCAAGAAGGATCAGCTATGATGCCTTCATGACCAGAACAAGGGGCTGATTGAGTACCTGTGTGGTGATAATCTCTTCTGCATAGGCAGCAATGCCCTGCAATAGCAAGTGAACAGCTCTGTCACTATCAACGCTAGAGGTTGAGCTGTTGGAGTTGGAAGCATCTGAGTTATCCACTGATTCAGATAAATCAGATGGAGTGAGAAGAGAGGGGGGGGGATAGAAGCATAGTAGACACAAATGAGTCATTATCTGAGTCAGTGCTTGAGTCAAAGGGGTTATCAGCATGATCATCAAGCAGCCTTTGAGCAACAGCCATGAGATCATCAAGTATTTCAGCTTGGATGGATAGGTGAGGCATCAGGGGGATTTTTGACTTTTTTTTTTTGACACCAGTGGGGCTCTTATATACATATCAGATGTGTGTTATGTTTGCTGTACCAAGGCTTAGGTCTATTTTTGCTATCAAGCATTGCTATTTCCACCTTTGAATGGTGGCTGTAGCTGTGGCAGTGGCACTACCCTTTGGGATTTTGGTCGGAGCTCAAATATTTGCCACAAGTTTTCAGTCAGAGCTCAAACTGTGGCTTTCTTTCCAAGGGTCTCCCAAATGGGTTTGGGCGAGTTGGGGAGAACCATTTCACTCAGTTAGTCCACAGTTAGCCCACTTTGAACACCACTATTATCTGCATGTTATAGAGAGGTTAGCATTACTAGAATTAACAATCCAACACAACTCACAGCCAAAAGGCTTGCAAACAGTTTGACTCTGTTCCACTCCTCTTCAGTCAGCATCAATTCATCAATCTTCTTTCACTTGACCATTGTATCTGCCTGAGGGCCCAACTAATAGACAAAGATATCCACAAAATAAAAACTACATTTCATGTCAATAATTTCCTCACCTTTCACATCTTGTCTGCTTAATCAATCATCACATAGGTTGATGACCAACAAATAGGCATGTCAAGAAGGAGTAGGGAAACCTGAGAAGGGGGGCAAGGGTTAGGTAGACAGCTCTGAATGTCGTTGAAAGCTGCTTCCTCTGAGCTGAGGAGTGAGCCTAATAAGATGTCAGAGATAATAGACTTGGTGAAGGGTCAGCACAAACCTTGACTGTGATGGCCCTCACCAAGCCAATCTCATCACATTGCCCATTTTCTGATACAAACTCTAGACCAGCATCTTCTAGATCATAGAATTGAGCCTTTCTATAGGTTGAGATTAAAGCTCGAGTGGTGAGATGAAACACATGTGCCTGACACCTAGTGCCAAGTTTTCTTAGCCTAGATTGTAGGTACAACTGTCATATACCATGTCACACAAGTCAACTCCACTCCTCTGGAGCCTACTCCAGATCAACTCTGCCTTTCCTCCTATAAGCAAGTCCACTTCTCTGCTTATCACCAAGTCTGCTTTTCTGCTTTTCTGCTTATCTCTAATACTTCCAAATCTGTGCCAATGGATATTCTGGGGATTGGCAGTTGCAATTATAGGAAATACTGCTTTCCTACAGCGCGAGATAACAAAAGACAAGAAATTGAATGACATACTGACATAGATCACAGTCATGAACACAGTGGATCTGACAAAACTATAATAGGGCAGTGATTGCCCAGACTACTAGGAATTAGCTAGGAGTAGTAAATAGGTATGAAGTAAACTCACCTCAGCCGCTGCCAAAGAGGGGCAAAGAATGACTGAGGAATCAGAAGTAAAAAACCAAGTATAAGTATGTAGCAGAGTGGGCAGAGAAGCACTTGCTAATGATAATCAGGGAAATAGGAACAGGAACAAGGGGGAGATAGAATTAAGTGGTGTAGGAAAGTGACAGAGCATCCCTGGAGGCTTAGGAGTGATAACAAGAAAGGAATGATGAGATGTGATGGAAGTCCACACAAGTTCTGCACAAATTCTGAGCAACTGCCAAAACTCCAAGCAGTCCTGCCTGATGGTGGAGCGGAGGTATGAACTCCAACATTCCAGAAATGTGGAGTTGATGTTCCAGTTCTGGAGTTCACTGTATTTTGTCAGGATCTTGCCATCAGGTCCCTTGGTAGTGTGAGGGGTACCAATGAATGCTGTGACATCACAGGTCCTGTCCTTGCATTGTTTTTTGAGCTCATCACCAATCAATTGGATGTGGACATTGTTGAAGAACCCATCATCATCTACGGCATCTGTTATGATGTCTTGGATGCCCCCTATCTTTCTCTTGATCATCTGACCCATTGTACCATCACATGACCTAACCTCACTTAGGTCTTTATCTATTTCCTTTCTTGTTGATTGTTCAACCAGTCTCCCAAGCTAAAGTCCCTTGGCTGTGTTCCCTCTATGACATTCTTTCTCTTTCCTACCAATAGCCTTTATCTCTCACTTGGTCTGTACACACTTCCCAACAGTATATAAGCCCTGTACTTTTCTTGAATACAACCCAAGCTAGATCTATGCAATACATTGCTTAACCAGCATTCCCTTGATCCTCTGAGCTATGCTTCACTTGATTGGCCTATAGTCTGCCAGTAAAGACTTCTGATACTAGATCTAGTTCAACTATCCTTGTTGAACTTGTTGGTGCAGGTGTGGCAACTTCATGTTGATGACAGAATACTAATGAGCACTAGGTAAGTCATGCGACAGTAGTGATAATGTACCAGCATTGTCATCCACATCCATCCCATCAGTTTTTTCACTTTCCAATGCACTTCTGGCCACTGACAGGTGTCTTTCCAAATGTGGCTGAAAATAGCTGTATAGTTTATTTACAGAAATCACCAAGAAGCCCAGGCTCAGGCCTGCACACACATCAGGCCTGGCATATTACTACTGGCAAGCTTGTCAGACTCCCTCTACCCAAAGATATGATCCCAACTGTTATGCTGTT